AATTTGTGGTCATCGACTGGTAGTAGATGCCAGTCAAGTTCAGGGCGTCTAGGTGGGCCTTGAACCGATCTTGGTTGCTCGCCCACGAGTTCTCGCCGCACGCTGTGTAACACCTCATAATACCCCACCACTGGCTAATTTGGACGCGATACTCATAACCCACCTCGAGGAAAATAGGACCTCAAAAATTATCCTTGTTTTTTGGCCAATTTGAAGGCTTAGTTGTTTCGGGGTCTACGGTATTCCGTCCACGGCGAGTACCGGGGAACCGTGACGTTGATGTCGCCGCTGGGCGAAAGCGCAAGAGAGCTGCCTCCCATTTTCTCGCTCACTTCCGGGTTGTAGGTGGCGATGCAAACAGTCGTCGGCGTCGGCTTGTACCACATGGTATCGTTGAGTAAGTCCGTCCACATTGTACCGAGGTTGCAGCGCTCGACGATATCACGAATTTCTTGAGGGCGTTTGTTCTTGAACTGCTTGCCGAGGACCACGACGTGCTCGTAGACATTGGGACCGTTCGCGCCGAGCATTACTTTAGAGATGTAGGCGCGGACGGCGGCGGGCGTGCGGGCGTTGGGGTCAGCAGCGAAGTCGGCTGCGAGCTGGAGGCAGTGCGAGAGCTCGTCTTCGGACGCAGGCGGGCCGACGTTGTCGCGGCGGCCGCGGAGGCTGTTCTCGGGACGGGCAGAGTCATTCTTGGGGGTACGGGAGGGGGTCATATTCTTGGTCTTCTCGCCACTGGATTGGTTGGTTTTGGGCTGGGCCCCTGGGGGGGTAGGCCTATTTTGGGTGGCCGAGGCGTAGGAGACAGCGCTGGACATTGGGGGTGACTGGCTTGTGCGACAGGAGGCGAAAAAAAGAGTCTAAGGCGCTGGTCTCCGAACGTCCACTTCGACTCGAGATGACTTCGATAAATGCAGTCGCCGAGCCGTACGGATAAATTTATCCGGTGGCCTCTCACATTTGTGAGTCAACTCACGCTTGGACTGTAAATGGACCGCACACGTCGTTTTGCGTCCGCAGTGGTGGCAGCCGTGACCTATGCTGGAGCTGCGCTTGCTGTGGCTCATGGCGTCGTGCGCGAGGACAAGTTCAACATTGTAACCATAATGGAGGTCGAGTTCGATGCCATGAGTCCCGACCCTCGCTACAACCAGTGGTTCATCAACTACCTCCGCTGCTTCCAAGCTACGTTTCGCGCTCTTGTGTCCACCCTCCGCGTCTACATGAGCGACTAAAAGTTCCGCAAGTCTACGCATTCGTTCGCCATACTGCTGTACTTTCTCGCCAGCGAGGGCGGGTACCGCGAGACAGGTGGTGCTCTCGGTGTGTCCAAGTCGTAGTGAATCTACGTCGTGCGGCGGCGTGGGCGTTGTGGGCGTCGTGGGCGGCGGCGTCGTGGCCAGCGGCGTGGAGGCAGCCTTCTTGGTGGCAGCCTTCTTGGTCACCTTGCGCTGCACTGGCGCCTTAGTCGTGGTGTTTGACGCGCCTCGCGTTGCGCGCCCTGCCATTGTGCGATAAAATCCAAAACTCGCCTCGAAGCGACAAAAGTTGGCCCTGGATCGCCTTTTGTTTCAACGATGCCCTCAGCCGGATAATTTTTCCGTACGAGATTTTTGGCAATTGGAGTCATCTCGAGTCGAAGTGGACGTTCGGAGACCAGCGCCTAACCTTCATACCGGCCTCTTGTCGCTACTTGGCTTCGACTGAAGACCAATCATCCCGAGACGTAGCGGCGAGGCTGTTGCTGCGCTCCCTCTTCCTCCCACAACGCCTATGAAACGCCGGTAGCCAAATTTAGTCGACTAGTTTATGCTGCGCAAGAAGGCGTCCAGCGAGCCATCAGGGCCGGTCAAGTCTCGTCGGAAGGTCGTCGTCGACGTCTCGCTCTGTCGGTACGCCATCATCAAGCGCTGCCTCAAAGCCCGCGGTACACTCCTTTGTCGTCGTAGACTTTAAGTTCTTGTTTCTAGACTTTCGGCTCGTGCGGGAGAAGAACGCGAACGCCGCGTGGGACATTTGGTGGTCGGACCGCGGTGAGCTTCTCAAGGACGCACGGCGCCTCCACGCGTTCCAGAAGGTCAACCACTTTCCGTCCATGGAAGACATTTGCCGCAAGGATTTCCTCGCGACGCACTTGTACATTTTTTCCGAAGTTGTCATCGTCACACTATATATCTCTGACAGAAATGCCATGCGCAAGGCTCTGCCCGACGCCTACGACTACTACCCGCGCTCGTTTCTACTGCCCGCTGACCGGATCGAGCTCCAACAGGCCATGGAGCACGACGCGCGCGGGGCCACGTACATCATCAAGGTACACATTATTGTCTCTTGTACAAAATGTCGATGTAGATGTGCGTAGCCGCGCACGCTGTGCCAAGGCAAAGGCATCAAACTCGTCCAGAGTTTTGGAAAGATTCCAGTCACTGAGCCGTGTGTCGCCCAGCGCTATGTGGCCAACCCGCTGCTCATTGACGGCTTCAAGTTTGACTTGCGCATCTACGTGCTTGTCACGAGCGTGGACCCGCTGCGCGTCCACATCTTTCGCAACGGCCTCGCTCGTTTCTGCACGACGCCGTTCGAACGGCCGACAAAGGCGAACCTGAACGCCGCGCGCATGCATTTGACCAAGTCTGTTTTTTCTTCTTTTTGGTCGAGATGACGAAGATGGACCTCTATTGTAGCTACGCCATCAACAAGAAGGCCAAAGACTTCGTTAAATCCACCGACGACACCAAGGGCAGCAAGCGGAGCTTGGCTTTTGTCATGGCGCACATCGCGCACCACGGCCTCGATCCGAGTGCCGTCTGGGCCGAAATGTGCGATATCATTCTCAAGACGCTCCTCGCGATCCAGCCGCGCTTGCAAGCGAGCTACCGCAATTTCTTTGGTGCCGATGCTGCCAAAGGTCGGACCGAGTGGGGCCCCGCAGCGTTTGAAATCCTCGGATTTGACATTATGCTCGACGACAAGGTGAGCAGACAATCTGTCCACACACAGCACCGACACACAGCTGTAGGGGAAATCGTGGCTCTTTGAAGTGAACCACGCGCCGAGCTTTGCAGGTACGAACCGATGGAGGTTGCACGTCATGACGTGGCGGTAGGCGAAGCCAAGCTGGACCGCGAGATCAAGACGCCGCTCATCGAGCAAGCGCTCGATTTGATCAACGTCACCAACAAGCGCAAGCGGATCTTTTTGGCGGTACGGGTGACGCGTCAGCCATCGTCCACACCATCTTGGCGTAGCGCAACCGACGCGCTTGGAAGGAGCGTCTCTGGAACGCAGCGCTGCCGACCAAAGCTGCAACCGAGACGACCAAGCCCGAGGCCAAGCCCGAGACCACTGCTGCGCAGGAGAGCGTGCCCGAGGTCGACGATGCGACCCCCCGCGAGGACGTCGAGAACAACGACGAGGCGGACGACGCAGACGAAACTGAAGAGGACGACCAAGTTGAGCGTGACGAGACGCCGTCCTCCGCCAAGCGCCCGTGGAAGTCCTCCAATCGCGTACACCCTTCTAGTGGCAACAACCAAGACGATGCGGATGCGTCACAAGTCGAGTCGATCGAGTTTACCAACGTGTACGAGCTGATTTACCCTCCAAAAGACGCGGTGCTCCAAGCCACGTACGACAAGATCCTCACGGCCGCCGAAACCAACCGCTCCAAGCTATGGGGCTAAGCAGCATAGAAAATATACTCCTACGTTCTCGGGACGGATGTGCAGACCGTTGCACGTGTGGTGCTGCATCCAACGACGACTTGGAACCAAGCTAGACTTCCGTCCCGTCGGACAATCACAAACGAGGTTGGACTGACAGCATGCTGGCGCGTGGCGGCACGAGCTGGCTGTGCATGTTTACGCGGGACTGAGCCCCACGTAACCGACGGATCCGTTTCAACGGCTCACATTCCTCAGATCCATCAAGTCGAGAAATGAAATGATTTATCTGAACCATAGACTCTGCCGCATCCCTTTTCGTTACGACAACTTCGGCCACCGCGTCTTTGGCGCCAGAGTGTTGCGTTCCATGGCCGCCAACTCCATATTTGGAGCTCCGCGACTGCGCGATTCCGCTTCGGTTTCAGCTTCACCGTCGAAACTGATCAGTCGGTTACGTGGGGTTGAGTCCCGCGTAATCATATCATTGGATACGTTGCCCACGAATACACTGTACCACTTGGACAGTGAGTGCATCGTTCCGACCATATGGTAACGTTGTGGCAAAAGCGCCGATGTTCCCAGACCTTCTTTGGCACCATGGCGACCGAGTACGTGGCGCTCAAGTCGCCGCGCGAGCCGCGTGCGGCGGCCGTCGACCGGCTTCACCCGATGGAGACATCTTCCTGGCTCGGCATCCTCTTGATCGCGTGGATGGACAAGCTCATCCGGCACGGCGCGACGACGCCGCTGGACGAAGCCGACGTGTGGCCGCTCGCGCCCGCCGACTCGGCCGCGGCGCTCAGCGACCGCTTTGCCGTGCAATGGGCCCGCGAAAAGGTCGTGCACAAGGCAATGTGGCGCACGCTCGCTCGTCGCAGCCTCTTGACGATCGGTCTCTACTTGCTCTACTCGTTCCTGATGCTTCTGCAGCCGATCGTGATCAAGTCGCTTTTGCAGATCATCCAAGGCAAGCCCACGTCGCTCGGCCTCGAATCCGGCTACGGCCTCGCGGCGCTGCTCACGATCCTCTCGTTCGTCTCGGTGACCGTCATTGACTTTGGCCAGTACCTCTCGTCGACGCTCGGCTGCAACGCCAAGACGATCGTCACGGACGCTGTCTACCGGAAGAGCTTGCGGCTCTCCGCGTTGGCCAAGCGCAGCCTCTCGTCCGGAGAGATTGTCACCTTGTCCAGCGTCGACTCGGAGCGACTCTTCCAGGCCTACCTCCTCGGCGCGTGGACGTTTGCGGCACCCGTCGCCGTCCTCGCCATCTTTATCATGCTCGGCGTTGAAATGGGCTACCTCGTCGGGCTCCTCGGAGGGCTCTTTATGTTTCTCATGCTCTACGTTGGCCACGTGTCGGCCGCGTCGGTCGGCGACGTTCGGTCGCGGCTCCTCGCCGTGCAAGCCGAGCGTGTCAAGCTCACGAACGAGCTCCTCCAGGGCGTCCGCGTCGTCAAGATGTACGGCTGGGAGCACAATCTCGAGGCGGCCATCGATGTCATTCGCACGCACGAGCTCGCCCTCCTCAAGCAGTACCAAGCCCGGCGTATCTTCAACACGGTCGCGCTCTACTCGACGCCAGTGCTCTCGCTTGCGCTCTGCCTCCTCATCTACGCCGCCCAAGGCAACGCGCTCTCGGCGGAAATCGCCTTTTTCGCACTCGCCTACATGAACGCGGCGCGATTGCCCTGCACTGCCTTCTCCAACGCGATCGTGTTCCTCCAAGAAGCAAAAGCGTCCTGCGACCGCATCGGACGGTTCCTCAACGCCGACGAGCTCGAGGACGAAGCGCTCGTGCCCTCTATCTCGAGTGATGCCCCCGTGGTCGACATCATCGACGGCGACTTTGGCTGGTCGTTGTCACACGACGGAAACGATGCCTTGACGCTGCGCAACATCCACCTCCACCTCGCCCCTGCCTCGCTCACGATCGTGGTTGGTGCTGTCGGCAGCGGCAAGTCCAGCCTCGTCTCGGCCCTCCTCGGCGAGATCCACCAAGTGCGCGGCACCCGCCACGTCACCGGCAACGTCGCGTACGTCAGCCAAGAGCCGTGGATCCAGCACGACACGCTGCGCAACAACATCCTCTTTGCCGACGCTTTTGACGACGCCAAGTACAGCGCGGTGCTCTCGGCCTGCCAGCTCACGTCCGATGTGCGCATGCTGCCGGACGGCGACCGCACCGAGATTGGCGAGCGCGGCATCAATTTGAGTGGCGGCCAGAAGGCGCGCGTGAGTCTCGCCCGCGCCATGTACCGGACCGAGGCAGATATCTACTTGCTGGACGACCC